ACTTAAGGCAATTCCTCTAAAGTCAGGAACAAGACAAGGCTGCCCTCTCTCTCCATATCTCTTCAATATTGTACTTGAAGTTCTAGCTAGAGCAATAAGACAACAAAAGGACATCAAGGGGATCCAAATTGGAAAGGAAGAATTCAAACTGTCTCTATTTGCAGATGATATGATAGTTTACAAAAGTGACCCAAAAAAATTCTACCAGGGAACTCCTACAGCTGATAAACACCTTCAGCAAATTAGCAGGATACAAGATTAACTTAAAAAAAATCAATAGCATACTATGTACAGACAATAAAGGGGCTGAGAAAGAAATCAGAGAAACATCACACTTTAAAATAGCCACAAACAACATAAAGTATCTTGGGATAACACTAACCAAACAAGTGAAAGACCTATATAACAAGAACTTTGTGTCTCTAAATAAAGCAATTAAAGATACCAGAAAATGGAAAGATCTCCTGTGTTCTTGGATAGGTGGGATCCACATAGTAAAAATGGCAGTCTTGCCAAAAGCAATCTATAGATTCAGTGCAATCCCCATTAAAATCCCACCACAATTCTTCACTGACCTTAAAAGGATAATACTCAACTTTATATACTTTGTATGGATAAACAAAAGAACCAAGATATCCTAAACATCCCTGTACAATAAAGGGACTTCAGGAGGCATCACCATCCCTGACTTCAAGCTCTACTATAGTGCTATAGTCCTGAAAACAGCTTGGCATTGGCACAAAAATAGACAGGTAGACCAATGGAATCCAATAGAAAATCCTGATGTTAACCCATACACCTACGAACACTTGTTTTTTTGACAAAACAGCTAAAAGTACACAATGGGTAGAGGAAAGCATCTTCAACAAATGGTGCTGGCACAATTGTATGAGGGTGTGTAGAAGACTGCAGATAGACCCATGTCTATCGCCATGCACAAAACTCAAGTCCAAATGGATCAAAGACTTCAACATAAATCCAGTCACACTGAACCTCTTAGAAGAGAAAGTGGGAGGTACCCTTGAACAAATTGTTACAGGAGACTGCTTCCTGAACATAACACCAGTAGTACAGGCACTGAGATCAACAATTAATAAATGGGACCTCCTCAAACTGAGAAGCTTCTGTAAGGCAAAGGACACAGTCGATAAGACCAAACGGCAATCCACAGAATGGAAAAAAGATCTTTACCAATCCCACATCTGACAGAGGGATGATCTCCAAAATACACAAAGAACTCAAGAAACTAGTCAACAAAACACCAAAAACCCTATTAAAAAGTGGGGTACAGACTGAATAGAGAATTCTCAATAGAGGAAATCAAAAAGGCTGAAAAACACTTAAGAAAGTGCTCAACATCCTTAGCCACCAGGGAAATGCAAATCAATGCAACTCTGAGATACCATCTTTCTCCTGTCAGAATGGGTAAAATTAGAAACACCAATGTCAGCTTATGCTGGAGAGGATGTGGAGACAGGGGAACACTCCTCCACTGCTGGTGGGAGTACAAAATGTACAACAGCCTTTTTGGAAATCAGTATGGAGGTTCCTCGGGAAAATAGGAATCAGTCTACCACAGTACCTGGCAATCCCCCTCTTAGGAATATACCCAAATGTTCCACATCCATGCAACAAAGACATCTCTTCAACTATGTTCATAGCAGCATTATTTGTAATAGCAAGAACCTGAAAGCAACCTAGATGCCCCTCAACTGAAGAATGGATAAAGAAGATGTGGCACATTTACACAATGGAATACTACCCAGTGGGGGAAAAAAATGCAATCTTGAAATTTGCAGGCAAATGGATGGAACTTGAAGAAACCATCCTGAGTGAGGTAACCCAGTCACAAAAAAAGGAACATGGTATGTATTCACTCATATATGGATTTTAGACATAGAACAAAGGATCACCAGCCTACAATTCACACCGCCAGAGAAACTAGGTTACAAGGAGGAACCTAAGAGATTCATACAAGTTCCCTCACAGAAGGGGGAAGGGACAAGACTTCCTGAGCATATTGGGAGTGGGGGGGCAGTGAGTGGAGAGGGAGCTAGGAGAAAGAGAAGGAGAGGAGAGGAGAACATGTGGGATCAGGAAGATTGAGTCAGGGGATGAATACATGAGGGATAAAAAGAGATACCATATTAGAAGGATCCATTATAGGTTTGAAGAGAAAACTGACTCTAGACACATGTCCAAAGACATACAAGTATGACCCCAACTAACAATCTGAGCAACAGCGGAAAGGCTGCCTTAAATGCCCTCCCCTGATAATGAGATTGATGACTAACTTATCCACCATCGTGGAGCCCTCATCTAGTAGCTGATGGAAACAGAAGCAGACACCCACAGCTAAACACTGAGCTGAACTCCTGAAATCCAGTTGCAGAGGAGTGATAAGAAAAGGGGTCAAGACCAGGCTACAGAAACCCACAGAGACAGCTGACCTGAACAAGGGGGGAGCTCATGGACCCCCAGGCTGATAGCTGGGAAACCAGCATTGGACCAACCCAGAACCCCTAAATGTGGGTGACAGTAAATGCTGTGGCTGGAGCTCTCAAACCATTCTTTCCTGATCTGTGAGATCCTTTGATTCCATATTCACTCCACCCAGAGCTATTGGAAGCAGCAAAACTCCCATATAAAACAGAATGACTACAGAGCCCACACTCAGGAGCATAGAGAAGGCCCCAGTAACTACACAGAATGTGGGTCAAGACAGGAGGCATGGGGCCATAGAGAGGGAACTGGAGCCACATCATTCAGGGCTCTTACAAATTACTGCAAAGGGTTTGGTTTTTATTCCACGTGCAATTAGAAAATGTTTTAGGGATTGTTTGTTGGGTCGATGATTGGTTGATTGTGATAATAGGAATGAAACCAGAACCTTGAAATGCCACATAAATGCTGTATGAAATGAGTTCTATCCAACCAACCTTTTTTATTTTAAGACTTTAAAAAATGTTTATGTGTATGATTGTTTGGTCTGTATGTGTGTCTGTGTATCATATGTGTTCCTGGAACCTGTGGAGGCCTGAAGAGACCATCCTCTAGAACGGGAATAACAGACTTTTGACAGCCACTAGGAGAGTGCTAAGAATGGAACCCAGGACCTTTGTAAGAGTAGCCTGTGCTCTTAACTATTGAGTCATCACTCCAGTTCCAATATACAGGGTTTTAAGCATATATGTGATCTATACTAGACATTAAACAGTGAGAAGAATGAGTTGGGCATGGGTAGGATCAAGGTACATTGTATACATGTATGAAATTGTCAAAGAGTAAGTGAAAGGTATTTTTAAAGAAATTTACCAGGAGGTGGTAGTACAGGCCTTTAATCCCAGTACTAGGGAGGCACAGACAGATGAATCTCTGGAATTTGAGTTTGAGGCCAGCCTGGTATACAGACCTAGTTCTAGGACATCCAGGGCTGATACACAGAGAAACCATGTTTCAAAAAAAAAAAAAAAACTATTTTGTAACGACTAAGCTGTAGATAAGAAGAAAATCAACCTCAGAGCTTTTGAAGGTGTCATTCAAGGAGAGAGGCTGGACAGAGAGTTCAGTAATTAAGAGACTTGTTGCTTTTGCAAAAAGACCTGGGTTAAGTTCCCAAAACTCCCATAAAAGCTTACAATCACCTAGTGCCAGTACCCACAGGGACACCAGGCACTGCATACTTATATAAAAACAGGCAAAACACTCATACACATAAAATAAAAATAAAATAAATCTTAAACCAGATGGTGGTGGCACTCACCTTTAATCCCAGCACTTGGCAAGCAAAGGCGGATCTGTGAGTTCGAGGACAGCCTGGTCTCTATCTCTCTCATCTCTCTCACTGTCTCTCTCTCTCCAGGGTTTCACTCTATAGCTGTCCTGGAAATTAGTTTGTAGACCAGGCTGGCCTCAAAATCAGAGAGATCTGTTTTTGTCTGCCTCCAAAGTGCTGGGATTAAAGGCATGTGCCTTCACATCCAGCTAAGAGACCTTGTCTGGAAAAACAAAGTAAATCTTTTTTTTTTTTTTAAAGTGACTGGCAGTAAAGGAGGCAAAAACACAGATGCAGGACCTATTTTAGAGGGTACCCTAAATGGACTTGTTGATATAGCTCAAAGTCATATTTTATTTGTTTGTTTTGTGTTTTTTTGTTGTTGTTGATTTTGAGTCAGTGTAGGTCTGGGTGGCCTTGAAGTTGTTATGTAGACCAGGCTGACCTCCAAATTAAACAAAGAACTATTCCTGGGGCTGAGATGTGGCTCAGCAGTTAAGAGCATTGGCTGCTCTTCCAGAGCACGTACATGGCTGTTTACAACTGTCTGTTACTCCACTTCCTGGGGATCTGACATCCTCACACAGACATGCATGCCAACAAAACACCAATCAATGCACATGACACCAAACCATAAGATTATTTTCATTCCTACTCCATAACTGTAATTTTGCTAGTTATGAGTCACAATGTAATTATCGGATATGCAGAATATCTGATGTGAAACCTCCGTGAAAGGGTCGTTCTACCCCATCCCACCCCCCAAGTTGAGAATCATTATCCTAAATGCGGGATTTCAATGCAATACCACGCCAGGCCAATTTGTTTGATTTTATAGTATTTTGCGGCTTTTGCTTTGTTTTGTTTTGGGGTAAACATCACCTTCCATCCCTTTCCTTTTTTTTTTTTTTTTTTTTCGTGACAGGGTGGCTCTGTAGACCACAGGCTGGCCTCGAATTCACAGAGATTCGCCTACCACTGACTCCCGAGTGTGAGTGCTGGGACTAAAGGCGTCTGCCACCACCGCCAGGCTCCTTAGCTCCCTTTTAAGAAACAGAAAGGAAAGTTGGACGTGGTGCTGTACTTTGGAGGCTAAGGCCTCCAGGTGGGGACTGACCCACTTTAGCAACTTTGTCACCAGCCCATTCGCGCAGGTGCATGTGGGATTGGCAGCCTGAGCGAGGGCGGAGCTTCCGGAGGATAAGGCGGGCTCTGGGCTGTAGCGATGGCGGAGGATGGGTTAGAGGGTGGAGCAGCGGCAGACATGCAGGCAACACGCACAGGTTTAGGCCACACTGCAGATGGCGCCGATTCCGCGACTAGCTACTGCTGTCCAGGTGATGCAGGCACAATGGTGGTTATTCCCAGTGGAGCTCACCCTGTTGCAGGAGCACCGGAAATCTCCGTTTCGAGCAAAAACACTGTTCCTTTAACTCAAAGGCCGGGAATCCGACATCATAGATTGTATCCTACCGGACAGGGCCAACTGGGCCAATTTAGGGATGCTTTAGGAGGGGGAATGGGTAGTCTGGAGGTGAGTGTGCGTGTGTGGAGGGGAGCGTCAGGGAGAAGGGGATCCCGCGCTGATTGAGGTATGTTAACCACGGGTGGTCTGGTCATGAGAAAATGACAGGCGAGGGAGACCGGAGGGTAGAGGGAAATGAGCAGGAATTGCCCAAGCAATGTACAAGATGTAGTCTGGAGAGCTTGGACCAGATGATTTGGTTCTAGAGGGCCAAGTAGGCAAAATTGATTCAACATGGTGCCTTTACTGAGTCTCCACTAGCGCCCTTACAGTGCCTTTCCCGACCTCTTTGGAGGCAGAAATCGCCTGTGGGTCCCTAGCTCCTGATGCCGAACCGCACCAAGGACTGTTGCAGAAGGAGCTTAAAGTGAGCGGCTGCATGCTGAAGGTGTAAGTACTGAAAAAGTCTGGCATTCTGGTTAGGTGGCTGGACTAGTCTCCACCCAAGACTGCACTTCTTTAGAGACTAGGGTGACATCTAAGGAGATGCTTGTATGGTACAATGGGTGACTGAGGGGAGATCCAGAAAGGGTAGGAGACAGGAAGCAGAATTCCAGGCCAGTCAGAGCTACATAGAAAAGTCCTTGGCCAGCCAGGGCTACATCATGAGATTCTCTCTTTCCAAAAACACATAAGGAAAGAAGGAAAGGAAATGAATTACCATTTTGAACTTAATATTCTTTTCCCTCACTCTTAGACACTGGATCTCGGAAGACTCTCGCCTCCTCCGAATTTCCATCATGAACTTTCTTGACCACCTTTCCCTATTGGTGAACACCATACAGCGCTTTGGGCCTCCAGTTTCTCGTTAAGCCTGACTCCGAAAAGGGATCCAGGCCTGACCTTTTGTCTGTTTCCACCTAAGCAGTGCAATTTTCTGGAAAAGATACCAGAAATAGTAGCTGATAGTTAAATGTGGGACCTAATATTTTTTTGCCTGACTTGGTTCTCAGGCACTTAGGAGACACTTGTTTAGTCTGGTGCTTAAATGTTTGTTGCTGAAGAAAATAAAGCTGTGCATTTAATCTGTATTTGAGTGTTTTCAGTTTCCAGATTTTCTTTGACTTTTTCTTCTGTTGGAGGAGAGGTTCTGGAATTCAGGTTATTTGTTACTATAAAATAAGAATATTCACCTAATGTGTGAGATCCTTGATTTAATCCCCAGCACTGAAAAAACTATATTAGTAGAAAGTAGAGGAAGACAATTTCAGAAATAGAGGAAAATTAAAACCACATGCACCCTCTCATGCAGGGCTCACTACTGCCTCCACTTCAGGAAACTTTTGGTATTAGAATTTTATCAATATAATAAATATGTAACAATATCATGAGGCCCCTCTTCTTCATGAGGCAGTTAATGTTTGTTAGGAAGAGGGAGTTGTTTTTCTTCAGTAGTATAACCAGTGTTAACTTGCTCATAATTCTGTAAATAATCCCACATCCATAATCCTAATTAAACTCAGTGAGGCACTAAGGAAAGACATGGAAATAAAGATGTAATTGTTATGAAGAAGGGCTTCAATAAGGATGAGAGGAGGATAAGAAAGAACAATAGGGGGCATATACATTATAAATGTGTATGAAATTGTCAAAGAATACTTTTTTGACAGGGTTTCTCTGTGTAGCTCTAGCTGTCCTGGAACTCACTTTGTAGGCCACTTTGTAGAGAGAGATATTATAAGGAATGTCCTACTTGTTCTTTATACAACCAAACTCCACTACAGCAGGAAGTAACACAAGGAGTACTCAAAGGAATGAAATCTGGCAAATGGGCATGTTCCATTTTGTAGAATTTGGAAAATTAAATATGTACACCACACCATTGATACCTATTCAGGTTTTCAATGAGCAACTGCTTTGAGTTTGGAAAAAGTTGATCTGGTTGCTAGATGTTATGGCCATTATGGATATACCTACAAAAATAAAGACAGAAAATGCTCCAGCATACATCTCTAAGAAAATTAAACCTTTTTTCTCATTATAATATAAAGCATATTACAGGTATACCACACAATCCTACAGGGCAAGCAGTTAAAGGATATGCTAAATAAACAGAAAGGAATGATAAAGACCCCTGTTGCTGGAGTTTCTTGCCCCATCAGGTCCTGTTGCAGCTTCAGCCCCAAATAAGCACACAAAGACTTACATTAATTGTAAAACTGTTGGCCAATGGCTACGGCTTCTTATTGGATAGCTCTGTCTTAATTATTAACCCCTTTCTATAAATCTGTGTATTTCCACGTGGTCTTGGCTTACCGGAGAATGCCTGGACCTGTTACTCCTTTTGCAGCTACATGGTGTCTCTTTGTGGAGCCTTTCCCAGAATTATCGTGGCCTAGTCCTGCCTGTCTTCCTGCCTCTATTGGCCAAACAGTGTTTTATTTATCAACCAACGAAAGAAACACATATACAGAAGGATATCCTCAATTAGACCCCCCCAGAAACAGATTGTACAGTGCTTTATTAACTTTGAATTTTCTGAAAGCTAATGAGAAAAGGAACAACAGCTGCAGAAAGACATTGGCAAGTAGAAAAAAAAAAACTACAGAATTAAATCAGCTGGTATACTTCAAAGATGTGTTAATGTCTGAAAGGAAACCAGGACATTTATGTTGGGGAAGAGGTTTTGTTTTTGTTTCCACAGGTGAAGAAAATCTACGGATACCTGATGGGAGATGTCATTCTGTAAATATGTTTATCTTATTGGTTAATGAATAAATCACTGTTGGCCAATAGGAAAGCAAGATAGTGGGACTAGGAGAGAAGGAGGAAAGAGGAAATAGTAGGGAGGAGATCCAAGATGGTGGACTGACAGAATGCTAGTCTCTCTCTCTCCAGTAAGATGAGATCACGTGGAAATACATAGATTAATAGAAATGGGATAGTATTTAAGAGAGAGCTAGCCGATAAAAAATGCTAGTAACAGCCCAACGGCTTTATATCTAATACAGAGTCTCTGTGTGTTATTTGGGGCTGGCAGGGAAAAACCTATTTGTAACAGATAACATCAAAATTGATAGTTTCTATTTGAACAAGACACCTCTTAATTAGAAGAGATGATAGTTCCTCAAGTATCATGGCTGTTTAATCTAAATGAACCTATAAAATTAAAAAATGTTTTTCATTTGATCAGATATAACTTGCCAAAGGAGAACCTTCCCAAAAATTTAGGGTTGGGGAAGGGTTTTATTTTTGTCTTTTCAGGAATCTGAAATCCACTAGACAAGTGAGACACCTGAAGAAAAGGGATAAATAATCCATAAATATTGTCCCAAGGAAAAGAGTAAATTGGCATATTGATATATCATATTTCCAACAGGATAAAATTTTATAAATCTTCCCAAATGTTTGTTTCTGTTTTTCCCTATAGACATATAACTAAAATGGTCTGTTTGTAGTCCCAGGCCAATTAAAGAATAAACCTGGCTCTGGAGTTGAAGTGTGGCTCTCTCCTTCTCTAAACCTAAGCATACTTGTTAAAGTAAAATCCAAAATATCTGTCTCATGTCATAAGAGTCACCTGATATGGAATAGAAGAAAACCAAATTTAAGGGACTATTGTATTACCATTAGTTTCATAATCATTTGGTTCTAGTTTGAGTCTTTAAAACTTTACTTGAGGTATAAATATTATCATCTAAAAATTTATTAGATTAACATATATATGTATGTGTATTTTAAAGTTTTTGCCATGATGTTAATGATTGTGTAGAATACTAATTATAGAAAAAGGCTTTATCTCCCTTTCTGTACATAATTTCTGGTTTGAGCCTCTATCAGTTTTCAACAGTGAACCATGACCATGCCTAACTGCAACCTTTGAAGTCTCCAAAAGGAGGATGGGGCCCCAAAATGACAATTTCACCAGGATTATGATAATACCATTAAGATGGACTAAAAGCTGCTCAGAACAATTTAGAGGAGGCTTGCTGAGATGGTCCAGCCTCACAGACTATTCTAGCAAAGACTTGACACAAGACCTGCACTCTCCCATCACATAGAGACTGGACTCCAAATGATAGAGCTTGACAGTTGACCCAATTTTTCTTTTCAGAATCCCCTAAAGACACCATTGCCCCCAGACAGCAAGAAGTAAATTTAAGACCATGATGCCCACATTCCCAAAAAGTGGGGTGGGTGATTTTTGGTCATTCAATAGATTGTGGATATTTCTCATTGTTTAAGGGGATTGGTTACAAGTTGTTACTGATAATGGTCAGGAGATTAGATTCGGGGTTCTTGTTTTGAAAAAATTGGAGAATATAGATACAATACAATAAAAAGGTAGATTATTGAATCTACTTCTAAAAAGCAAGTACTAGTTTTAAATATTTTATATTGGATTGGACTTTTGTATATTGTATACAAATATTGTATGTTGATACAAAATTGAAATTAATTGGTTAAAACATACTGTACATACATTTCCAGTACTGTTCAAGATAGTAAATTACGTACAAAACTTTTGACTCACCAAGATAGGATAGATAATGGGAGTATTATCTTTGAATTTGTCAAATGCAAATGGACTAGGCATTATTGATGTACTTATTGCCTGAATATATCATATATAGTTATTGTACTTACTGTATATATTTCTTATATTAGTTATAACTTTTTTACTTTTAGACAAAAAAGGCAGATATGCGGAGATATCTTGTTTGTACAAATATGTAACACAAGTTCCAATAGGTCTTAATAAAAGCCTGGAGTCAGATATAGGGGGAAATGCTGAGAGATCAGAGAGAAGGCAAGCCAAAGCCACCTTTACCTTATTAGCTTTCCAGCAGAAAAGAGACCGAGTTCCTGTTTCCTCCCACCTATATTCTTTTCTCTGCCTAACCATCTCACTTCCTGTCTGTCTGCACAGACCTCCAGACTTCTATGGTTAGCTAGCAGCTAGCTTCATCCTTTGATCTTCAGGCGCTTGCCTTTTCTTCAATGTTCTGCCCTGAAATTAAAAGCCATTCCAACTTCCTACTCAGGGTCTCATCTGCTAAAGTTGGTGCCATTTATTTACCTGATGGGCTCTAAAATTAAAGCATTTTCTCTCATCTCTTTTTCTTAATCTTTATTTTGGAAACATGGACTGGAAAAATGAATGTAAGTCCCTATTGCTGAAGATAGTATGTTTCAGACACAAGACTTAATTTTAAAAATAATTTAATTATGTGTGTGTCCTAACTGTGAGTTTGTGCATGTAAGTTCAAGTGTCCCTGGGTGCCAGAAGAGAGCATCAGATCCCCTGGAGCTTGAGCTATGAGTTCTGTGCTATGGATGCTGGGAGCTAAACTCTAGCAATCTGGGAAAACAGCAGTAAGTGCCCTTAGCAACCAAGCCATCTCTTTAGCCTTCCAAACAAGGCAATTACAGTATCTTAAATTAATTGACAATCTCATATAATGCATTGTAGTTGTTCATCCCCCATTCCTCTCTTAACTCCTCCTAGATCCACCACTGTGTCCTTAACCCCCTCCCAAATTCTGTGTCCTCCTTTTTTGTTGGGTTCAAGACAGGGTTTCTCTGTGTAGCCTTGGCTGTCCTAGAACTCACTCTGTAGACCAGGCTGGCCTCAAACTCAGAGATCTACCTCCCTCTGCCTCCTGAGTGCTGGGATTAAAAGCGTGAGCCACCACCAACCGGCCCGTGTCCTCTTTTTCAAAAGAAACCATCAAATCCAGTTTGTGTTGGCCATGTACTCATGGGTGTGGGGCCAAGGTTGACCTGTAAAGGGACATAACCTTGAAAACTGATTTTTCCCTCCCCCAGAAGCTATCTACTGTTAATTGGTCCCCAGTTATAGGTGGGAGCTCATGAACCTCTCCTGCTCAACAGTAGAGTACCTTGATCTTGTACAGGTCTTAGGCAGTCACAGATGCAAAACAAGTCATTCTTTAACTTCTGGACAAAAACATAAAAAAAGAATCCCACAAGCCATGTGTGTTTTTCATCTTGTTTGAGATAGTTCATGTGGCCCCCATTGGCATGAAGTTTAGTGTGTAGCTGAAGCTATCCTTGAATTCCTACTGAC